GAACCCGAGGTCCTTAGTACTGGAACTCATGCAAAGCCACTGCGCCACGGAGCCGTTGTCGGAGTATACCGTATATCTTTAGGTTTTTCTGACTACCACCACCACGCGGCTTGGAGTCTAAGTGCTCGCCATAAATTTCATAGTACGCGTCTGATACTCGTCAGCTCAACAGAAATTTATAAATGAAAAAAAAAAACGCAAACGAATAAAGTTATACATATTATAATTGCACTGCTAGCATGTGCTCAGTATTCTACATCATATTAATGTCACCACGTTGCAAGTTTAGTAGCCTGTAGACCTCTATTTCTGCCCAAGAGGCCGTTTGGTTAGGTACCACATTCTCATCTTTTACTGTTGCCAAGTAGCAATGCTTGCACTGTTGTATTCCAGTTTGGAAGGGTAGAGAGCCTGTATAGTAACAACATCTGTACGTAGCCTTCTTTGTTTGAGATTGGTTGTAGGTATTCATTGACTACAATAACCAATAAGCAATCAATATCAAGTGAACTATAAGTTCGTTTGACAGTATTATTAAACTAAAACTTTCTTATATTTAATTTCGCAATGCGAATTTGTATAACATTTTATAATTAACGTTATCCAATATCTTAAACACAATTGAACTTTATAAGATAAGATAAGAACTACTTAAAAATAATCTAAAAATTAAGTCCTCCTTTTGAAGTCGGATAAAGTTAACGCAGGAACCGTTACATTCGACGTCAATCTCACGGTGACACTAATTTGAGTTGAATGCACTTTAACCGTCGCTATGGGAAAACATCGTCAGCCGTAAAACTTTTGTTGATAAACATATTTTGATTCATAATCAAAGAATATTTTTGTCAGTCATATTGACATAGCCAAAGTGATTTCATAGCAAAATATAAATATCAAATGTGCACATAAACAATTGAATAAATAGCGAGTGCATGAGGTAAAGGAGACAACTTGTGATATCTTCGATGTTTCCTATGCATTCCTTAATCGCAAAGCACGTTTTAAATATGAGTTTAAAGTTGAAATTAAAAACTGAAACGTGGCATGTCCAGGAATCGTATTAGATGGTTTATTTGATATATAAAATCAAATTGTTGGCGTTAAACCAATGTACTAATCTCAATAGAGCATTATTCCCATCGTCATAATTTGACATTTGCCATTTAAGTTTAATTAATGAGGTATCACCAGCAAATAATGCAATATCCTAGTTATCCCCTATAGGATAAGTAAAGTAATTAACATAGATTACCTAAAAATTTTGCCCTATGTAACACATATTGATACTTTCGAACCAGAGAAATTCTTACTAATTATTAAGTTCTTACACCATGTTTTCGTAGTTTCCTGATTTACTCTTGCTATGAACACATGAAGGCATTGGGAAGATTACAAATATACTTAAAGCATGTTGATTTTTCCTAGTCATTGAAAATATATTTAATAAGTTCATCATCGGCATCAATTATCGTGCGACACGTTGTAAAACCATATTGATTTTATTGAGCAATTTATTAAAATTTATAAATCTTAACATTTTAAATTTAAATTTGTTTTTTAAAATTTTACTGAGTGCTGACAGTTCAGAAATAGGTCAAAAAAATTGTATTTACTGCTAATTCTCTACTGCACGTCATTATACAATTATTTTTCAAAGAATAGCCAAATTTTAAACTTAAATTTAATTAATATATAAACAATGATTTACCTTTATTGCAGTGTTTGAAAATACGAGAAAATAAATCTACTGTTATTTGAAATTATCTCAAATTGAATTTAATTTATGAGCAACACGCGCCCTCCTCTGTGTGCGATTCAATTCACAACGTTTTCGCCGACCGATCGACCCTTACGAACGTGTGCGTGAGTAGTAAAACAGTAGACGTTAGAGATTGATGAACGACAGTAATTTAAATTAATGCATTACCAGGCATTTTGAATTTAATAGATAAAAAGGACAGAATTTTTGAGATTTTTTTAATTAATTTTTCTTCACCATTTGCCTGTATTACTTATTCTGAACCTTCTTTGCAAATTAGGCCGGTTATTGTAAAATAACTCTGTATTATGATTTTTTTCGCCCTAATCTTGTTGTTAAGATGAAAATTTGAATGCACAGCCCATAATATATAAACTTCGTCTACTATTATGAATTTCTACTATCACCGATTCTAAACTACCTACCTGGCGATTGTTGCAATATATTCTTATCGAAGTATATGTTTTATTAATTTAAATTTCGTACTTATTTATAAAATTTGTCATACGAAAAGCTGCTTATTATTATATTGTTGTTATGTATGTATGTATGTATATTGTGTATTACTATATCTCTATATATATAGAAATCAATTGCTGTCCTCTAGTCTCACTAAAACTCAAAAACGACTGGACCCTGAAGGTGGCGCTGTTTTTGAGATCCAGAAATCATCCGTGAGAAGCCGAGGCGGATCGCTAGTATAGATGAAATGTTTTAATGAAATTAACTCTAATAAGTTGGTAAGTTCATTTTCATCTTATCTACGATACTCAGAACGAACAAATGAACAACTGAAATGAATATATGAAATTTGTAATCTATATTGAATAAAAATTATTATATATATTATTTTCTTCTCATCCATTATAACGGTAGTAGTGTGAAAATAAGGATTAGTATAGGTTGTTACATTTTTGATTTCTGAAATCTCAACAAGAAAAATTAATTTGTATTTCGTAAATTTTTAAGTAGCAGCACTCAAATAACGAAAATAAACAATCGATGAAAAATTCACAAACACTTCAACAATGGTATTATTACATAGGGCAATCAAATTCTACTTTAACGCGAAGTGTCCCGGCCGACCCGACACGCTCTTGACTCTTTTACTATTTTTACGTCTGCCTGTGAGAATAATAGATGCACCCGTCTGTGATGCAGCATAACAAAGGACATAATTAAATTAAAAGATGCCGTGCTGCTTTTGTTTACCAACAATTGAGAAATTTAAAAAAAAACCTTGGAAAATATATATATCATTAAGCGTACAAAATCGCGATGTTATAGATATTTAGACGTTTAATATCTTTACTTATGCGTTTCACAAATATAAAGTTTTATAACACATTATGTAAAAAACACAACATATTAAAAATAACATGTAGAAATAAAAATAAAAACATAACTAGCTATTATATTAGTATTTTTCACCGCGCCGCTCATGTGGAACTCTCCCATGTAGGACATGTGTTCTTTGGCATTCTTTGGGAGTGTAACGTGCTAAGTACAGCTCAACTGATTGGGTAGGTACCACAATCTTATTTATTTCTGCAATCAGACAATAGTACAACCAATGCTGAATTTTGGTCTAAAATATATGCAGAGTTCGTTTAATTACAGGCTGAGACGCATGCTGTATAAAAAGGGTTATTATAATATAAATGAATACATGGTTGATAATAACCCCTGGGAATGAGTTGGTCACTTCACTTTCGTTTACTGTTTCTAAAATAAATTTTGTAAATAGTTTGTAGTCATTTATATTGTAAAATTTATTTAAAAAAGTCCCGCTGGGTTTCTTGTTGGTTCTTCCCAGCACAGAGGATTTTTTTCGAATCAGTGGTAAAATAAAAAATAACTTTCTATAAGAATTGCACATGTAATCTATATTGAATAAAAAATTATTCTATTCTATTCTGTTCTATTCCGTCTTCTTCCTGAGAGGTGATAATAACTCTTTGTTTTTAAGGTGGTTTGATTTGAGGTGTGGAGTACTAATTCGGGGATATACAGACTGGCTTTAATACCCTCAACACTATCTTGAGGTGTTTTCTCTTGCCTTTCTTAGACCTATAAAATTTTGTAACTTAATATAATTGTGTGTAAGGATTTGCAACTATAAAATCTACACATGCGAAATCATGGGCAAAGCTTTTTGTCATAGAGATTCATTTTGTCACACATAGACCATTTATAATATTTTTCTCATAGCCAGTTATTTGTTTACAGCCAGTGGTCGATGACAATACTTTTTAAGGATTAGTTTAGTTTATTAGTTAATTTGCCATTATTAGTTTAATCCTCACATTAGGATTTGATATAACAGCCACTTTTTATTAACTCACACATCGTGGTCCTATTCGATATCATCATCATTATGATTGCAAGCTCTCACAAGCCCCTTTAAACACGGTACAACCATGCTGCAGCTGTATTAATTGTATAGCAGCTATATTGGTAGTATAGTTGTAGCACGAATGGGTCGTCTCGACCGGGGAAGAACTACGCTCTCACAGAATACTAGCGTAAAATAGCAGCTTAATGCTGCGGTGTTTCGTATGGTGAGTTTAGAGAACCGGAGACCCTTTTTACTGGAAAAGAGGCATTCCATCTTAGTCCTCACGGCTCACAACTCATCTGCATTTTGATTCGCAAACGAGGATAGATGTAGATGTCTATAGGCCACAGCAACCACTTACCATCAGGTGGACTGTGTGCTCGCTTGTCACCATTATCCTATAAAAAAAAAACAACAAAATACGGTTGAGCCGCTTGCATTTCTTACTGGGTCGTCACTACATTCTCTATGGGACAGCCTTGCACTTCGCTTACTTCTATGGTTAAGGCTTAAATAATATTGGAGTCAGGCTAGGAAGTAGTGTAAGATGGCACAAGGATGAATATAAACATAACCAGAACAAAAACTTAGAAATGTGTGTTTTCACAAATATTAGCACCGGCTGAAATTCGAACCTTAATTCACGAGTTGGTAGTCAGGTGCTTTTAACAACTTGACCACGTGGTTGTATGTTTCTATATCGATGTCGTAAATTTTCGTTTGGTCATTAACAATAAATAACAATTGGAAAATGCCCCGTAACGCTTCAACGCCCGGGCGACCGTCAGCGTCCCTGAAGTATTGCACTGGTCGATTGCGGCACGCTTTCCTCATCTAAAACTGATTGACTATATAAAGTACCAGAGGTACTCCAGACAGCACACAACAACAGCAATCAAAATGAAGTTGGTTCTAGTCGTCGGATTCCTCTGCCTACTGGCGGTATACGCCAGGGAACTCGGCGAGGAGGAAAAAGATCTAATAGCAGCCGCGAGCGGCAAATCAAGTCACCACGAAGAAGGTGGTGGCAAAGAGCACCACGCCCATCATCACCACGAGCACGGCGAAAAGGGCCACAAGGGCCACAAGGGGCATCATCATCACCATAAGGGCGATCATGGACACCACGGTAAGCACCACCATGAGGGCCACCACCACGAACATGGAGGAGGTCACAAAAAACACTGGGATGAGCACGACCATCACGGACACCACCACGAGCATGGGCATCATCACAAAGGTGGCAAACACGGTCATCACAAGCATCACGACAAAGGGGAGAAAACCGACGGTTACCATAAGAAATACCATAAGGACGACTTCCACAAGGATCACCACTTTTACGACGACCATCACCACGAAGGCAAGCACCATAAGCATGGACACCATCACGGGCACCACGAGAAACACGGTGGAGACCACAAGAAAGGAGGACATCACGAACACGGTCATCATGAGCATCATTTCGGCAAGCATGGTCATCATGACAAGCATCATTATGACGAAGACCATCACGGACACAAGGGCCACCATGGTCATGAGGAGCACCATCATCATCATCATGACCATGGCAAGAAGGGCGGCCACCATGATCACAAGGACTGGGGCTTCCATCACGGGAAACACTAAGTCATACCGAAATTGCGCTGTGATAGTCCAATGAATCTTAAGTACGTATAATAAGGCACACATATTTTCTACTGTCAATTGACTTGGCCGAAATATTTTTAAACTATCAATCAAGCATGACTTGCATGACTACACCTAACTTTTACTGTTGTCAAATATTGTACTGTTATTTTATTCGATACTTGACAGAATATTTCACGGCCGCATTGGTCACGGCATTCATTGCCTTTATTCAGTCGTTTATATTGTATTAGAAAAAGTGTGTGCTATTTTATTTACAATTGTTATTAATTTTTTACGGGTTTCGTTAAGTTTATCTTTATAATAAAATATGAGAATTTTTTATGAACACTTTCAAATTCAATACGCGTTTATTTATTGAGAACTTTTCATCTTTCTATTATCATCATGTTAAGATATAAACATCGAAAATTAAAGTATTTTTTTCGAAGTAAACAAAACGCTATCAACTAAATAAATTAAATCATCATTACCCCATATCAAACGTGGGTATCTATCGTAAGAGGCGACAGAGGGTAGTAAGCGTAGAATGGGCAGTAGCATCTTCCTGGTAACAGCTCAAAATATTAAAAAACTGTGGTTGGCAACACTCCTGCCAAGCATGACAAGCAAACTACGATACGACTTATGGGGAGCCTATATTCAACCCAATTTGTTAAAGAATGAATCAAAATGATCATGATAAACTATAAAGCATTTAGATCACGTTCACGCTTGTATGAGAGTGTTTCTTTCTCTACTTATGGTTTTGTCGATTTTAAAATTACCTCCGACAGAGTGCAGTTCTTGTATTATCATTTAATGAATGGTTTGAAGTGGTTTTAACACCTAATATGTATTACAAAAACAATGGCAATGAGTAACAAGTGCACGAATGACGACATAAATCTCAAGTGTTTTATCGGCTTAGGTACCTGGAGATATTATCGCATTCAACTGTCCGCTAGGTTAAGTTGTCGTCAAAATCTTTCAAAAACTTAGCACCATGACGCACCAGCATATTGTGAAGAATTTTGTAAATTATATATCGTCGGACTAGGCTGTATGATCTGAAACCTTGTGTCGGTCCTTATTGGCTGATCATAACAACAAACAAACAACCACATCGTTTTTTCCACAGACTTGATCGAATTTCGACCATAGGCGATATTTAATAAAAATAATTCTGCTACTACATTACAAGTTTTATATTGAAAATAATTCTGCTCCAATAATATTTTACTCGTTAAGTATGACTTAAACGGTTGTCTGCGGTGCTGCGTACCGCAGGTTTGTATGGCATGTAACATGTAAGCTAGTTGTATGGCCAACAATTATTTGTTCTGGGTGTATGTCTATGCGAATTATATTTATGTAAATCAATTTCACGATACATGGGGTTTTCCTAATATGTAAAAAAATTCTTCCCAAGCTTTTAAAAAATATTATTTCTGATATTTTATACGTGGTAGAGCCATGCTGCAATGGGTCGGCTCGACCGGGGAAGGACCACGCTCTCACAGAATACCAGCGTAAAATAGTAGCTTAATGCTGCTGTGTTTCGTGTGGTGAGTGTAGAGACCCTTTTTACTGGAAAAGAGGCATTCTATCTTAGTTCTCACGGCTGACAACGCATCTGTATTTTAATTCGCTAACGAAGATTGATGCAGATGTCTATGGGTCACAGCACCCACTTACTATCAGGTGGACTGTGTGCTCGTTTGTCATCCTATACTATAAAAAAAATTTAATGGTCTCTGTGAGAAACAGTGCTTCCACAAAAGACACGGTTTTGATCTAAGTTTGACGCCATCTTTGAATCAATTAACAATTTCGAAATGCGTGAGCCTAACACAACACAACCTATTATCTATACATATAATAAAACTGTAAATAGCAGATGTCTGTACATTTTATATTTTTGTAATAAAAGTGATTGAGGGGTACTAAAAATAAGTAATTAAATACATTTCTACCATTTTTAGAATTTTCTGTCTGTCTGTCTGTCCGTCTGTCTGTCTGTTTGTTTGTTAACGTATCACTTATAAAGTACTAACTTATATCATAAGAATTGTTAAGGAAATTATAAAGTGTATCTTCGGGTTACATTTAGTCTTTATTTCATTAAAATCAGTTCATTCCATCAAAAGTTATGATAAATATTCTGAAGTATGGGTAGGGAAGTATAGGTACGAATTTGCTCAACGGTGGCTTTGTTTGAGTCATCAAGTGCATTTTAAACTAATATCATATCATAAATCATAGTTAAATTATGTAAAATAATGATATAATTATGTATATCTAAAATGCAGTAAACAAAAGTATTAAAGAACGTATTAAATATATTATACAAAAATATATTAACCTTATTAACTAAATCTGAAGCACAATAGTTAACCCATTTCTTCGATAGATGGTGGTGTTGTGAAAATGGGTTTTTTCCTGTAGATGAGTTTTCATATTTACTGCTAATCTTTATTATATTACTCGCTGCCCAACTGCGTGTTGACAAACTCAATTTATTCTTCACCGCCGAGTACTCTATGTGGTAAATCAAATTTTAAAAGAGCTATTAACAATTGCGTTGGTTTTGGCGAGAGTCAAACTTTATTTTTTGCTTACTGTGCAGGCACTGATTTATAAGTTCTCTTGCGTTTTATATAATGTATCAATCGCGTCAATTAATCTCTTTTATTTTTAGAATTGATGTTAGCAGCGCCATCTCTCTTTAAATATATACATATAATAAAAATGATGATAACATGTTCTGTCTCTTTCTGTACATTGTATATATATTTTGGTGGCTAAAATCATTATGGGGAACTGAAAATAATTAAATAAGAACATTTTATAATTTTTAGAATTGTCTGTCTGTCTATTTGTCTGTTATTATATGAACGCATCACGTCTAAAGTAAACATCTTTTATTTTCAAAGAAATCGTTAAGAAAATCATAAAGCGTATCTTCGAGTTACATTTAATCTTTGTTTTATTAAAATTGGTTAATTCTATCGAAAGTAATGACTATTATTTTGAAATGTAGGTTCGAATTTGTTCAATGGCGCCATAAAATCTCAGAAATAGTAATAAAAAGATTTGTGTGTAAAAAAAAGTTCCATAATAATTTATATATTTATACTTAAAACACAAAAAGAGATTTAAAAAGGGTGTTTTCTCACACAAAGGACGTAATAGATGGAGTTGTACAAATTACAAACTTTTCTGAATTGCTGTGTTGAGATTTTTCGCCGATGAATCGTATTGAGACTTACTGAAGAAATTTGTATCCATCGAAGCTATACAACGGAACCCGACCAAAAATAAAAATTTTGCAACGAAATGTCGTGATATTGTATTTATAATATACGCAAAATCAGTACTGCCATTTTAGCGCTTTGGGAGCTAGATTTAGCGCTTTTTGGTGTATTTAGCACACATTTCAATATTTTAGCGACTAGCGGATTATTAATTCTTTTATAGCAGCACTGTTAGTTCACATTACCGATAATAATAATTATGACCTTTATTATTTTTTCCCACAAATAGTACATTGCAGTTTATCTTTTTAAAACATATTTTTTCCACAAAACAAAGAGCATGGGACACGAGTCCAAACTAGGATACCCTGTGCTATGGATCTCCTGGCTTCCCCTTTAGGATGATCAACTTGATTTTTTTACCGACGTCTATAAGCGGGGAAATCCCCTTTATTAAAGTTTTCGTTCATGGTTTTGGCAACGCATTTATTTTGCTTTATTCAGTTTCAGTCAGTTGCTTAGAGCACAGCTAAGGTAAAAGTTACTTAGAAGTTATAACACAAAGAAACTGTGTAGCAACCGCAATCAGATGCTGACATCTGAAACTCAGTTGCGAAATACATTGCACTTTAAAACAATTAATGACATTTTTATTGTTCGTACAGTACTAACTACTATTGACAGCAATTGCCATAATTATAAGTCGATGCCCTGCGAAGTATTGATACATCAAAAAAATATTGCCAGAAAAAAAACTTAATGTTGTTTTCTTTATTATGATTATATAAAAAAACACAAACTTTGTTTGTAGTTAATTTAGCGCGAAATCTAGGGCTTTTTTAAAGCGCTGTTTTCATGAAATCTAACTCTTTTTGTGTTGTCCTAGAGCTGAATGAGTTTTTTTTTATCTGGCAGCACTGCCCAAAAACCCTCTATTAAGAAGTAACTTTCCTTTCAGTTTTAAGCGCGTTCAGTTCCCAGTTACAGTGAGCGTGTGTTATGCGATGACCGTAAATAAAGCGCAAGGTCAAACTTTACGCGTTGTAGGAGTGTACCTCAGTACTGACTGTTTTGCACATGGCCAACTCTATGTTGCTTTTTCCCGTGTTAGTAGCCCCCGTAACCTTTTTGTGTACACCCCGGCCAAGCCTACTTCTAACGTCGTTTACACAGAAGCTCTATCATAAACGACTTAGAACTTTGATGATAATGATTTATTTAGTTACCACTTATTGATACAGTAAAGAAATAAATCGTTTAATATTCTCTTACCTAAACGACAAATTCTTTATGTAAAACCTGTATACGCGAGCTACGCCGCGGGCACAGCTAGTCTTAATAATAAAATATTAAAGTAAATAAATGTTTTAACATACTATTATGTAACATAGTATTATGTTATGAAGATAAAAAATATACAATTTAGCAAGTAATTATATTTAACGGTATAACACTTTAGAGACCATCAAGCGCTGGTCAACGTCAACTAAAATATCACTGTCATGGCAAATTAACCACAAGCCCCTAATTTATGCGCTCTTTTAGATCCTTTGATAAATGTCTGAGCCCGCAACCCTTTGTTCACTTTTTACTTGTTCTATAATTATATATTGTGGTTGAAAATTACGTTGACTCGACCTATATATTTTCAGAAGCAAAATAAAATTGAGTGCATTTAATTTACCCTGAAGACTTCTAAAGATATCATACCATAAAATAAGTAACTATAAAAACTGTGTAGTG